CCCCGCGCCCTGCTGCCGCGGCTCGCCTACGGGCTCCCCACCCCGCTCACGGCCACTCGGCCGCCCGCTCCATCCTCCCTCCCTCCGCCCGACCCTCCCTGGACGCCGCCGCCGACACAGGGACACGACGAAGTCCCCACCTCCTCCCCCCGCGCAGGCGCGGCTCCCGCTCCGCCCGGCCTTTCCTACGGCCCGCCCCTCCCCGGCAACCCGCCCGCCTCCTCTTCGCGCCCATTGGTCCCCCTCTGCCGGCCGCCTCGTCCTATTGGTGGGCGTGCGCGCTAATCACCGGCTAGCCCGGCCTCGAGGGAGCGCTTCGTTGCGCTCGCCGCCTCGCCCCGCTCCGCCGGCCCCTCCCGTTTCCCACGGATGGGACCTTCCGCAGGGCGCCGAATGGAGCTCTGGGCGGGACCACTTGGGAGGCGGGGGGGTAAGGGATGGGAACGGAGTGCCATTTCCTCTGTCCGGAGTACAATGGGGCGGCGGTGGGGCCGGGAGGCGGCGGCTGGCGCTGCGGCATGTCGGGACCTGTAGTCGCGACAGCGCTGCGTCCCTTGCGCTCGGCGGCCGCGGGGGCTGGGGGTTGCTGCCTCCTCACGAAGAGTCCCGCTGAAAGGCCCGGAGGAGAAGGGTTCCCCCCGTGGCGTGGGAAGCCCGAAGCTCGTGGAAAGCGCCCCGGGGGAAAGGGGTGACCCGAGGCGGGGCGAAGGGCTCCCCGCGGGCGGCGCCGCTGCGGTAAACACCGGGCGGCGGGAAGATGGCGGGCCGGGCCAGCGGGAGGGCCGGGGCAGGTGACAGGCCGGGCGCCGGCTGCTGTCGGGGGACTGCTCCCCGTGTGCATGTACGCACACAAATATATATATTTATATACACACACTCAACAAAAATGCCCCTGGGTGCTGGAGAGGGGCTGTGGGCTGGTGCTGGGTGGCAGCGGGGAGACCGGGGCAGGGCCGGTCCTGAGGGGAGCAGGGCCCCCCCCCCACTTCAGGCACCTCGGGCCTTCCTGACAGGGAACAGTTTAAAACTGCTTTCCTACCCGGTGCTTTGGCAGCGTCAGAACACGGCGAGGCAGCAAGATAAAGAGAGTGCTGTTTCTGCCTTTCTTTTATGTGAAAAAGTTAAAACATCTTCATGTTCAGTGCCCAGGTTACATTTATAACTTCTTCAGCAAAGCAAAATAATTGTAGAGGTATGTGTATGTATAGCCTTATAGCATAATAAATATACTAAGGTGTTTTAAAGTATAATTTTACTGTTGAAGAGCTACACAGCCTTTATTGATGGATTTGATCCAATAAAACTTTGTCAGGCTGATGATAAATGGCCATGACAAGAAGCATTACCTGGTTAGGCACTACTGCCAAATCACCCATTTTCTGCTACCCATTCCCACCAAAACAAACCTACGTAAAAGCTTGGTCTTCCTGTGGTGGTGTAAGATATTACTGTTTTAGATGACGGCCAAAGATTACCACCTCTGTACCAGAATTAGCAAAATGGCATGTTGCCACCCTCCGCCCGTCACCTCAGCATCTTCCTACGGAAGGCAAGTTTTGAGCTACGACATAGGACCCTGAACTGGTGACTGGACACACGCTTCCTTCTGCATCTGCTACAGAAGCAGTCGCCTTTGGCAGAGGGGCAGGTTGGAAAATTGAAATCAAGCATTCTCACGTGCTTTGCTGCAGCCTTCAGCCTCTTATAAAAGGGTTATTTTTTTAGCAGTTGACATGCATGGAGCCTAGCATACAGCCAACGTAAGGACACATGAAGGAACTGGGAAAAGGAATCAGTTCTTCTGTGCTGAGGTAGTGAAGCATGAAAAATTCCTACTCCACAGGAATATTGAAGCCTGAGCACCCCACGCAAGTACATCAGCTGTCAGAGCTCAGTCTCCTCTCCATGTCCTTGCACCAGGCTCCATGAATAAGATAATCAATTGGCCCTGAAGAGCCACAAAGGTGCCTGCTCTTCTTGCCCTCATCCCTCTTCTCCTTCTCCAAGCCTCCCTTTCAAAATCACAGAATCACATGGGGTTGAAAGGGACCTCTGGAGATCAGCTAGTCCCACCCCCCTGCCAGACCAGGTCCATCTAGAGCAGGTTGCACAGGAGCATGTCCAGGCGGGTTTTGAATGTCTCCAGAGAAGGAGTCTCCGCCTCCCTGGGCAGCCTGTTCCAGTGCTCTGCCACCCTCAAAGTAAAGAAGTTCCTCCTCGTGTTTAGGTGGAACTTCTTATATTCAAGTTTGTGCCCATTTCCTCTTGTCCTATCCCTGGGCACCACTGGAAAAAGACTGGCCCCATCCTCTTGGAGTATCCCTTTTAAGTATTTATAGGCGTTGATCAGATCCCCCCTCAGTCTGCTCTTCTCTCTCCTACCAAAGTCTTTCTCTCCTACCAAGAAGTAGCGTAAAAGGGAAATAGAGAAACAAGATAGATAGACAGATAGATAGGGCACAGAGATCACCAAGTATAGCTGAGATTTGGGTCATCAAATAATCTTTTCGTGCCACCTTGCTTGATTTCCATCTGCTTCGGGAAGGTTTGTTAGTTTGCTCAGCAGATGCCCTGGAAAACCTGTTCCCAGTGCCAGATGGCATGTAACTTTAGAAAAGTGGTAACTTGGGACTGAGCAGCCAATGAATCAAGTCTTGAATGTGGAATGGTCTTCTTCACTCCGCTCATGTATTCACAAAACAGCTACAGAGGACTTGAGGAGGAGAGAAGGGAAGATGATGAATTATTGCATTTGAATCTCATGCCACTATTGCCTCCCATTGAAAGGACCCCATTTCTAGCCTGGCCTGATCCATTGTCGGTCACTGCGCTGTAACAAACTGTTGTAGACTACCAAGTGTAACAGTGACCTTTCATTTGGGTTAACCGATAAGAAGGATACACAGTGTCAGAAGGGAAAAAAACGCCCCCCCACATACCATGTGTCTCTGGCCAAAAAAAAAAAGCACATACAAACCAAAGAAATTAGAAGTAGCTGGGTGGAGAACTTTGCCTAGCATTGTTTGCACATGCGTGTGTACCTGTGAGAGCTGCCAGGCAGTCCCGAGCACAGACCCAATAGCACCCGTGTTATCTCCCTCGGCCCTGCAAACCTCTCATCTCTGTGCTCTCAACACAGAAACCTAAACTTTCAGCAGTAAAAGCAGCCCTTTAACCCAGACTTTTGATCTGAAACTCAAGCTGTCTGGGTTAAACCCAGACATCTGACCAATCTGGCGTGTGTGCATGAGTGTGTATTTGTGTAGCTGTAGGAGAGGCGGAAAAAGAGACAGAGAGGCGCAGGGCGAATTACTCACCCTATAGATAGAACAGGAAGTTGCAACCAAAGTCTGTAGAAGAAAATTGTGGTTGTATCATAACAATCCATGCAAGTATGGTCCTTGGATAAAAGCAAGTTGATTAAATGCAGCTTCTCTGCTATTAATCTCCATTTTGTCTTGCCGTGTGCTACTCCAGCTGCTGCAGGGAAGGGAGACATCCAGTTTTTTCTGTTCAAAGGTGGCTTCTCATGTTCCCACAAGGTAAGCATGTGCTAACTGGTAAATGTGTTTCCTGGCATGCATACCATGGCTATGCCTGGTCAATGGGCGGCAGTGCCAAGCATCCTGGTTTACCAGGCTTCGGAGGTTTCCCTGAGGACTGGGATGGAGGGATGGAGCACAGGCTCACCACAGCGCTGGTTGGCTGCAATGTCTGTGTGGCCTGGAGCTATGTTCAAAACCCAGGGCGTATCTACCCAAACCTGTGTTCCAGAAAGAAAAGAACTGGGGTGGGAGGGGAGGCTGAAAGAACCCTAAAGCTCTAAGGGCATTGTCTCCCATGGCTTTATTCCTCCTTTGTCCAGCAAACCAAGACTTTGTGCGTTCCTTCTAGTTTGGTGTGACTACATTACAATGAGAGTTCATTTTGGCACCAATTTCTCCTCTCCTTTGCAATAATCTACAAACTTATATTTTAACTATCTATTTGGAGTAACATATTGTTATGGTGGTGTGAAATTACTAATGTGTTACTGTAATTATAATTACGTATATCCTTTACGTGAAACCTCAGTGAATTTTATCTATACTGAGAGTCTGAAAAGTTTTTGTAATCAAGATAATTTAGGGTAAAGAATAGGTGTTAGCATTCATAGATTTTCAAATAACACTCCTGTAATATATTTTAAGTGCAGTTGGTTGGAATTTTTCAATAAATGTGGTGTTTCAATGGAAAATGCTGTTTCTGTAAAAGTTAAATTTTCCACAGGGAACAATTTTGCCAAAGTTTTTTCTGCTCTCTGACAAAAACAATGCACTGTTATACTTGCAGATGCAGAAATGTCTTTACCATTGAAGACAGTATGACTTGGGATAGGGACCCAGCACATGAAAGAACTGGAGCGTGGAGTCAAAATGCCAGGAAGCTGCTGAACAGCTCAAGGGTACACATAAAAACTAAGTCCAAATGAAACATTTGTCTTTGATCTGACAAACTGAAATGCAATGTGTCTTTCCACAAATGTCAAAAGCTTCCATGCTGGTTGAAAGCAGTTAAATACAGGAATATCAGCATCAAGTACTTTTTGTATACTCTGACCCTCAAAACATTTCAGTATTTAGTCACTTTTGTTTCCGAAAGGGATAAAAATAATCATACTGGGTTTTCTGGCAGATCTCCAGTTACAATTTGACCACTTAGTTTATAAGTAACAAACTAACAAAAGCAATCCTCATGGATTCTCAAAATACTCCATTTGAACATAACTCCATGAACATTGTGGACAATAAATCTGAGGAAGATACATTGTACCCTTCTTATACAACAAATCAATTGAATTTCTGATTTAAACCTGAAAAATAATCTCATATTAAATGAGTCATAAAGACCCAATCAGTGTCTGTATAATATGTTCCATTCATATTATTAAGTGGCATGTGACTGCTGGATTTCTTGACATTTGCCTCTAAGTTAGGCAATGACAGACTCCTCTCCTATAATTACCACTGAAAATACTACTACTACAATTTAATTGTACCTGGCTTGCTTAATTTTTATTTATTTACTTGCCATCTTCTGGTATTCATTGCACAATATTGCTAAAACACTTTAAATGTCACATTTCTTGTACAGCTAATAAATATTTTAGATCATAATTACTGAGTTTCATAATCAGTGCATAATTTGGATTCCTCTCTAACTGTAACAGTCACACACACACCGTGCGCACGCGGTTTCCATACATAGAAGAAACTTTGTTCTTGCTGCTGTAGTTACTGTAGCAGCATTCAGGCTTAAAGTGGTTTTTAGGTATTGCTAACGTGCAGCTGAAACAAAAATAAGCGTGTGCATTATGATCAGCAACATCATCCTCTACCATGAGCGGTTCTAAAAAAAAACTCCATACTGTCCAGACTTGAAATATTTCTGTTTGATTTTTTAAATTTTCATATACTTACAGATCTATTCTGTTGATTGAGGTATTTCATTTGATTTTTGTGAATGTAAAAAAAAAAAAGGAGTTTCAGAATATAATGAATATTTCCTGCGAGATTTTAATGGTATTAAAATAAATAGCACTAAAAATAATTGCTGTGTGTCCTTTCAATGGCTACTTTTCAATAGCTTCACAGTAAATCCCTGAGAGGCCTGATGACTGATATTTCTACATGTCACTTTTAATGTAGTTAAGTTCCATCTAAACATGAGGAGGAACTTCTTCATTGTGAGGGTGGCAGAGCACTGGAACAGGCTGCCCAGAGAGGTGGTGGAGCCTCCTTCTCTGGAGACATTCAAAACCTGCCTGGACACGTTCCTGTGCAACCTGCTCTAGATGGACCTGCTCTGGCAGGGGGGTTGGACTAGCTGATCTCCAGAGGCCCCCTCCAACCCCATATCATTTTGTGATTCTGTAGGAAGGCTGATTTCAGTAGGATACCTGCTTTGCACCATCGGACATAAGGTAAGGAAAATCAGGAGCCATTTTCCATCTGTATCTTTTGACACACCATTTCTGAAGTGGGAATTTTTCTATCTTGTGACAGGGCTGTCCAAGTGACACAAGGTGACATAGGTCTGGTTCATGGCCGGCCAGCTGCCAGCTGCAGCACCACAGTGGGGGCTGCGCTGGGGCAACCTCATTTGCCTCCTTGTGACCAAGCTTTCCTGGAGGGTATTCCCCAGGCACAGCCACAGCACATCTGGAATGGAAATGCCCGCAGCAGAAGGTGAGCCCCTGCACCGGGCGTGTTAGGTGCCATTCAGAATTTGACTTTGAAAACAGCTGGTTGAACACAAATTATGTTTGCAGCGCCCCTTTAAAAAGACCCCGAAATCTTACTACTAAAATCTTGCATCAATGAATCAAGATGTGTGAAAACTGAACAAGCTTTGCATCATTTATCATTTTCAGTTTTTTTTTTATATCACCCTCAAGAACAAAAGAATGAATCTCTTTGTTATCTGCTCCATTTCAAGGTTCTTATCCATTAGTGTAGCAGTATTTGTATTATCCTTAAACAAACCTCAGGCTAATGTTTGTATCTAGTTTTATATTAATTGATAAGAATTAAAATATTTCAACTTCTCTAAAACCTGTCTCTACTGAAAACAAAACTAAAAATGATTAGATAAAATCTAAGCCAAAGTGATTAAACGCTGTTCCTTTACCTGGCATTAGCATTCTCTGGATGCACATACTATTCCATTTTACTCTGAAAATCCTATTAAAATAATAATAAGAAGAAGGAGTAAGACTGCTGCTACTAATGCATTAGATGTGCTGTGAAACTGAGCTCTCTGAGAGTTCTTTCTGCAAAATGCCTGTTGTTATGACCATTAGTAGTCATAATGGCAGGTTCAGATTCTTGACTATTTTATAGATTAAAAAAATATATTTTTAATAGTCTCCTAAGGGAAATAGTGAGCTTTATATTCTGGGAAACAAAACCAGATGGAGGGAAAAAAAAAAATAGAGAAAACTAAAGACGCCTCTCTCCCTCAAGCCCATGAAAATTTTACTGTAGGAGCCACCCTATATGCGACCAGGTCTGGTTTTATATTAACTTCACACAAATATGGGTCCAGTTCTGGCTTTAATCTCTGATTTGAGTTTTCTCCCACATTTCAGTGAGAGGTTTGCTGTTATATATGTGGACATTTAACAAAGCGACACAGGCCCAACGTATAGTGTGTTGAACAATATTCATATTTCGTTATCGGAGAGCACAACAATGGTTCTATTGTGTAGGGCAGCTCTCCTCAGAGGTGGAAGGAAGGCTGCACACAGGCTTCCAGAGGGGTCCAGAAATACGATGGTGACACCAGACTGGCTCATGTAAACAGGAAATCAAACCAGGATGTAAACTGGACTGCTTCCATATTCAGTAATACTCAGCTAAAAATAAACAGGTTGAATAGAGGTGGGAAAGCCAATTCTCTCTGTAAGCTCATTTTTCAACTTGAATTTTCCAAGACCTTGTAGAAAAATTCATACGAAACAAGTTTTAGTGTTGCTTTATCAATATGCCTGTAATGAGACTGCAGTCACATCCAGAGGGTCTGCTCGCGTGAACAGGAGAATGGAAAGTCTTTCCTTCTGGACAATAATAAAGACTTGGAGATGAAGGCTGAAAGGGTCATGACTGCTTTATAAATATATTGAGGGATTAAAAAAATCAAGGGTAAAAAAGTTCTACTTAAAAGACAACATTATCATAAGAGTTCATAACTACAGTCTGTGAAATCTAGAAATTATTAGGCATCTTATTCTGAGAAGAGTAAGTTCCCAAGAAGACTTTACAGAGTGAGGAGGAGAAACTGTTTTTTTTAAGAGAATGATCTAATGCTATTGCCTTCAAGAGCGTCATGTGGACTTCACCTGGGAGATCCCCCGCAGTCCTCAGTTCCTTAGGAATTCTCTGACTGCTGACCACAAGTCTTTCAGAAAAGGAGGGATTCTTCAGAATTATTTAGGTGACGTGAGGAACACACATTTTACAGAAACCATTAGTGCAGTTTGCCTTCTGCAGAAATCTATTTGCAGTCCTGTTCTAAATACTGTGATTTGCTGTATATCGTGTTCTTAATGAGTACATAGGAAAAAATGTGGCAATTCATTTAGCCTTTGGTACTTCACCATCTCCACCAGATATGCCAGATGGCACACTACGGGCTTGGAGCAGGACGAACTATTAGTGACACAGCAAAAAAGGCATAATAGCCCTATAAATAGCTGAAATCTGTGGGCACAACTGTCCCCTAACTCTAGGAACAGATGAACCCAGGGTAAGAGCTGGAAAGGAGCAGCAAAAATCACACAGTCCAAGCTGCTGCCATCACATGTAAACCTGGATATAATCTGATTAATAACACTTCATCTCAACGAAATCACCTTGTTTGCCTCTGCTGGCCACGAGAAGACTGTTCCAGAACCTCACTGTGGTTAGGAGGTTTTTAATATCTTCAACCTCAATTTTTCAAGTGTTTTTTTTTCCTGTGCAAAATATCTCTTCATCGTAATTATCTTTGTCTTACTATATTAGAGAAGCTACACTTTTGTTCTCCTCTTATGCCATAGACCTCTAATAATTTCTAACAGGCCTTCTCCATAGTTGGAGAATCGAATTAATTCTTTAAGCTGGATCAGGCTTTCTTGGATAAGGAACATTAGATATATGTCAAGTTCCGGATTATTGAAAAACTTTCCTAATGTCTGGGTCTGCTTGTGAGGGATGAAGGGTAAAAGACTCAATGAGTAGATGAAATTCTGATGGAAAAGAAGGAAACACAGGAGGAAGCTTTCGGTTAGAGTCTTGCTACTTAATAGTCAGCAAGAGCAGACCAACATGTCAGCAGCAAGAAGTGGCCAAAGGTACCCTACAGGGTGGCCATTATTATTCCCACCATAAACCATACATCATACTAGGAATGCAACACAGATATCAAGAAACCGTAGACATTCATGGCACACTCCATTAGTGGCTAATGAAGGCAGTAGCATTGCCATGAGCTTTGTGACACTGACATAGGACCTAGAAACCAAGTCAACTGGTCCAGCATTCAAGGATGGCTCTTTCTTCAGAAAACAGTCCATATGATCCAGTTGTGGCACCTCAGGCCCACTGGAAATGCTGAATAAGTAAATAAATAAGGTGCCCCATATTTCCTCCCCCTCAGTGTAGAACTTCCTTAGAAACCTGGAGGCCTGTGGAAAGAGAAATACCCAGATAGACTTGGCTACAAGTCAAATGTCTCAGTTCAGGAGTCACAGTTTTGACCTAGAGACTCACGAAGGACATCCTAGATGGCAGACACAGAATTTAGGTGGCTTCCATGAGAAAGAGGAATCACAATAGAGTAGAGGTGGTGCCTGTTTCTCGTTCATGTGCAAGCTCTGAAGGGGAAGGATTTTTACACCGTCTAGAAGATGACAAGGTGATTACAAGATGTAAACACAGACTCTGTGAAAAAGGCCTGTACAGGAACTGCCCCCTATGGAGTTCACTCTAACTTCTACCCTGTTCCTAGTCCTCATGTCTTCAAGGATTCTCCTTTTTCCTTCTTGACATATTTTAGCTTTCTGCCATCAAAAAATTCATTAGTATATTCTTTTTTTTGATCATTAATGAGGGTGATGAATAAAACCACTGAATTCTAAGAAATTCCACTTGCAAGTAGTGACCCAGAAGATCATCTTGCCAGGACAGCCCACTCTTTGCTTTAGACAGTTCCATATTTACCTTACAATCCTTGAACTAAACACCATCTCCTTACTGTAACTGGTCATTGACAAGCATTGTTTATTAAGGTCAGATTTACCTCCTTTTTTTGTTTGTTTTTTGTTTTGTAAAGAAATAAATATCAGCATTGAAGCTAGGTACTGACATATGTGATCATTTAAAAAAATGTTGTCATACAGGTTTGGCTTCTCTAACAGGACTATTGTGATAGAATATTCTTTTTAAAAAGCATATTTCTGTCTGCTGGCACCTATATTGCACTTTTTGAATTAAATTTGATGGAGCAAGAGGATCTAGAGAATCAAAAATATTAGCATGCAATGTTCAGTAGTTAAAAACGTTCCATTTTCATAGTACAGACTTCGGGCTTCTTAGTTTGATAGCAAACTAAAGTGGATGGTAAAATCTGTAAATTTATGAACTAAAATAGAAAGAGGAAGAAAAAAATGATTCAGTCGTGATAAAAGGAAATTTGCACAAAGAATGAGGGGAGAATACAACGCAGCTGTTACATTTCAGCATCACTCATTGAAGAAAAGTAAAATGAGGCTCTTTTAAAATTAATTCTTTTCCTCCTTTTATTTAGCTCTTACTTACAAAAATGCAGTAATTGCTCAAATAAATCAGTCATAAAACTATTTTGCACATGATTTTGGCTATCATTTTTGTGTACGCACTCTTGAAAGCACTAAGACTTCATCATTAACATAACTTGGTTGCAGTATTGATCGTAGATATGTTTTCTGGTTTATTATTAACTTTAAAACAACTCATTGCTTTTTCCTCATAGGTTGTTGTAC